GAAATCTTGACCAACGTAGTCCTGGAAATGCTGCCACCTCACTCCCGCCAAGGTGAGCTGTCTGAGGTCACCTCAATGCTAATAGGACCTCTTCCTGTCTCCACCTCAGGGGAAGTTTTTGCACACCATTTATTATCATATAATATAATGCAATATAATATCATACATAACATAACATAATATGATGGGTAGGTTAACCTGAAAACCCTGAGGCAGACTGTGGATGGATGGATAGATGAATAGATACATTTGTACTAAGTATACATACATTATATCATTCTATTGATTTGTAAAAAGTTCCCGGTCTGCCTGGCTGTAATGAGATTTTTGAACTTTGCGTGGCGATCAATGAGAGGAATATTATTGGCCTGGAGAATTGATATACCTGCTCTCAGTGGCTTGTTCTGCTCCCAGGCTGCCCCGGCCCCCCAGGTGTACGATTCCAGCAGACACTTAACCTTTTTTACAGTGTCATCAGGCTAAAAGGAATCTAATAGTGACACAGGACTTGTGCTCAGCACTCTGCCACTATTGCTTTCCTGTCACAAATAATTTATAGCCTTCTATTTCCATCCCTGAGCCTGCACCCCAGCCCTGCCTCCTGCTTTCCCCCAGCTCCCAGGAATCAATAAACTCACACAGCCATAGTGGGACTTCAGGGTGCAAGGACTGGACAGATGGACAAAGAGAGGGAAAGTGAGAAAGTGGCAGAGAAAGAGAGGGAAAGAGAGAGAGAGAGAGAGAAGGAAATAGGAAGCAATGAGAGGAAGAGGAAGAGGGGGTAGAAGTAAAAGAGCATGGGGGGGGGTCTCCATATGCTTTCCTGGAGGTGGAGGAGAGTGTCTCTCCCCATTCATGAGTGTAACAGACTGTTGCTGAAGACTCACTCACGGCTTCCATTCTGACTCATATAGCCCATGCAAATTGTTTTGATCTCCAAGTAGTGGGAGGTGGAGGCCCCTGGGAGCCAAAGAGAGAGTGACCTCACCACCTGCACCTGCCTCACCATCCTTTCCTCTAGAGCTCTGCCTCAAACCCCTATCATCTCTTTGGTCCTCTGTGGATCCCTCCTCATATCCCCAACTGGGGCTTTATCTGGTCCCTATTCTGTCTGAAAGTCTTTCTGTGCAACATCTTTTGGGGTCAACCTGTGGCCTCAGCTTCTGCTATTTCCTGTCTTCACAGGACTCTTCCCCAGGTCTTGTAGCTTGCAGCATTGACCAAACTGGAATATATTGCATGGGAAGGTCTCCTGCCTGCAGTTGGCTCAGCCCCTAAATTGAAAGCAGCCAGGCCTAGGGGTCCCCTATAGAAATAATAATACTATTGGGCACTATTGTCATGGCTATCATATATGGGGTCAGCCATCATATTAATCACTTTTCGTAGATTATTCTTATTGTAGTCCCAGAAAGTGCCTAGTAGTATTATCTTATTTTACTGATAAGGGAATAAGAAACAACTGAGTTTTCCAGGCAATAAGTAATAGAGCTGGTATTCCACTTTCGGTAAACTGAGCTCATTGTGCAAATTCCCTTGCTGTACTCCCATCCTTAAGAGTGTGGGAGACTCTGAGTGCCCAGAAGCCCTGCACTAGGCACAAATCAAAACCCTGGGAAAAGCAAGCCCTCATCTGAAGTGGAAAGAAAACAGCTTCCTATGAAGGAAAGCCTACTAGAAAAGGAAGTGGGGGACCATACCCTGCCTCTCCATGAAAATGGGAAATGACACCTTCTAGCTGTGCCTTTCAGGGTCCTGTCCACATCCTCCAAGGATCCATATCCTGGGACTTGACCCTTCTGGATAAACCTTCCTGGGGCCATTGAGGACATTGGCATGTCTTGATGACTTGTGGAGCCAAGGATGGAAAAGAATTGGAGGAAGAGGAGGAGGCATGGGGAGGATAAATGTCAGGCAGCCACCTTGCTTTACCTCGTGCTTTCAGCCCTAGTGCCATTCCTATGAGTTACTGGGTTGTATACAGGATACAGGAGTGCACTGGATGACCTTCAGATTTCCACTATTCTAATTCTTAAATTCCCTGTGATTAGCTCTGGGGACTGGCAAGGGCCTACTGCTTGGGTTCATAGATAGACACCAGTAGAACATTAGTAACTTGCAGCAGGCACCCTGCCTAAGTCTTCTCCCCTGCACCAAGCCGCTGTCAGGGAGTAGTGATTTTCCATCACTTGCTGCCTCAGCTAAATCTGCACCAGTGCCCCAGGGGTCAGAGGCTCTGGGTAACAAAGACAGAAACTCCACAAGCCTGTCCAGTTATCTGTTTCACCCCGCCCCAGCCCTGGGACTCCCTTAGTCCAGAGCCTATCAGTTCTCAAGTAGAGCCACCCACAGGATCAGGGAGGCTCTAGACACTTGTGCTGCAATGAATCTGCCGCAGCTTCTCTGAGCTGCTCAGCATCCTTCTAGACTTTTCTTGTTAGATCAGCCTATGCTGCCCTAACCTACTTTCTGATCTTTCCTATTGTGGTTAGGCTCCAAACCTTCTCCTAACTTTCAGCTTTGCTGAGAAATAAAAGCCATGGAAGTTCATTTTTGAAGCTTTTGAGCCCACCTGGAAGAATGCTGTTTCTTGCTTACTCCTCCCTGTGCCCTTCACTCCATCTCTTCCTTGTTCTGCCTTGCCCTCTGTCATGCACAATCTCTCTGGCAACTTCCGTCTCTCCCTCTTCACTTGTTCTTCTTCCTCAGCCCACAAACAGGTATTTCCTACCCTGAAACCCTCTCCTTCCACTTGGTAGCCAGTTCCATTCTCTGACTTCCACACAGGAGTCTCCTTTCACTGCCTCCCTCTCCTCCTGACCACTCCTCCATTCATTCTACCTGACTCTACTCCAGACACTATGCCGAGACTACTGTTCTCCCCAGGATCTCTAATGGTCACTCAAACACCCAAATCCCCATTTTATTCTATTTTTGGTGCTGGGGATAGAACCCAGCACCAAAAATAAAATAAAACCCAGCTACGCAAGTAATTTTCCAAGGAGCTACACCCCCAACCCAAATTATATTCTTCTTAAAACATTCTTCTCCATGGAGGCTACCTGCAAGGCCCATGTTCTACCTGTATCCATCCTGAGGCCTCTTCTTCCCCTCAGCACTCCTTTCCCCAACAGACTCCCGAATCCCTTTCTGCCATATCAGCAATGCGTGGATGCGTGCACCTCACATGCTGCATGTCTAGGGTAAACATCACCACTTTCCTCCAAAACCAGTTACCTCCCTGCAGCCTGTTTTTAACAATGACATGGACCACAGAGCTCCCAGTGGCATAGCACTGAGGTTTTAGAGCCATGGTTACCTCCAGTTAGTTGCTAAATTCTGTCCATCCTGTCTTCACAGTTGTCCTGCAAATCCTTGCCTCTCTTTCCTAAGACCAGTTCCTTATCACGTCATGCCCAGATGTCACCTTCCTGGGATTGTTTTTACATGTCATTTCTAGTTTGAGAAATTACTCATGGCTGGAGACCCTCTAAACCTGGCTCCCACACGTTGGAAGGATGACAGAATACCAAAAGACACAGGTTTGGGAGACTGAATTTGGACTCTGCTCTAGCTGACGGTGGTGTGATCTTAAGTAAGCTATGTAACCCTGGTCAGCTTGGTTTTCAATCTGCAAAATGAGGATCCCAATATTGACTTCAGAGGTTGCTGTGAGACTTAACAGGCACATATAAGTAATATAAATTGTGTAATAATAGCACATAATAGATGTTCAATAAGTGGGAAATAACTATTTTAATCATTGCATCCAAGTTTTCAGCCTTATTTCCTCTTGTCTCTTTTATGTATCCATAAATGGTGTCTGTCAGGTGTAGGTATTAACCTCTGAAACCTCATGCTCCCCTGGCTCCCCTGCTGTACTTCTGCCCTCCTCCAGCTCCTCATACAACACCCTTCCTTCTGCTTGTTGATTCTTCTTAGAATTGTGTTATCTTTCCGGGAAAGAGATTGTAACAATCCTGTAGACCAGACCAGGCCATGGGGATAAGGTCCCTCCTCCTGATGCTAGAAAGTTGGGGAAGGAAGATTTATATTCAAAGAAAGCTGAGTAGCCCAAGAGGATCAGGCAGTCAGTACCAGAGGATGCAGAGCAAGAACAACCCCCTTATAGGTGAGGGAACTAGGGAAAAAGTGACGAGGTGATGGATTTCATGCATCCACAGGCCTTTCATTGGACCCACAGATGGAGTCCTCAGTCCTGGCCCCTGAGTTGGTCTTTGCATCAGTGAGCCCCAAGTTTTGTAGATCACCAAGAGATAGGCTCATTCCAGCCCCTGATTGTTTGATTTGACCCTTTGCTCCCTGGGGTATGTGGGGAGGGCAACAGTTTTCTCAGCCAGGCTGATAAAGAGGTGATGGAGCCAGTCAGCCAGGTGGAGGCAAGGTTCTGGCTGATTTGAGAGCAGTGAGTGGGTTCAGGAAGAGGTCGGGCAGGCCTGACATCTGGCAAAGGGACCATGTGGTATCCTTGGAATTCTGGGGTTACCTGTTACCCAGCCATTTCCTGCCTGTTGTCCTTAATTCAGTATATTGATAAAACATGCCACCTCACCTGGGCTCTGGAGGACTATGACATGCTCCCAGAAGGAAAACCAGCTCCAAAATCTCTCCAGATTCAGGGAGTTCTGGTACTAGAAAGTGCACTTATATGGTTGAGGAGGGAAAGGTAGAAAACCAGTCACCTGGCTCTGCCAACCCCCAGAAGGAGAGAAGACTCTATGCTCTAATCCTTGCTACCAAAAATCAAGATACAATTCAGATGACGCTTGTGGCAGAGCCTCCGTCCAGAGCTATAGTAGTGTGACCCACAGAGCTGACAGGAGAGAAAACTCATGCAGTTGGTGAGAGCAGGAGAACAAGGAGCAGACAGGCAAGGATGGAGCTGAGGAGCTTGGGAGGGCCCCTCTGCCGGGCTGGACTGGCGCTGGTCAGAGCAAGATGGGCATAGGATTCATAATGCTGTTGTGATGCTGTTTCAGGATCATCCGGACCAAAGTTCAGCAACCTTTCCACCCAACACCGGATGGGGCAGGGACAGGAGTGACCACCCCTGGCCATACCATTGGTAAGAGGGCTCAGGGAATGGGGGAAGCCTGCCTCCCACCCAGGGAAAGCCAGGAAATAAAGACCAGCCCTGGGAACTGCCCCCTCCAGTGAGGTTCAGGACCTGCCATGTTTCCCAAACCCTCCTCTTCTTCATCTCCTAGAGGCTCAGGGCCTCCTAAATAAGATTAGTTCACTGCACTTGGTCTCTGTTCCCCCCTGCCTCAGTCTGTCCGTGTTCTCCTTTTCCTCCTTTCCCACTCTTATGTCAGCATTTTTCTTCTAGCATTTCTTCTTCTTTTTCTTCTTCCTCTCTTCTTCTCTGTCATCTTTTATTTATGTGACTCTATCTCCCTACTTGTCCCTCTTTCTTTCTTGTCCACGTTCTTATTCCATCTTTGTTTTTGCTTTTAATTTCAAAATTATCCTTCTCTCTTCTCCTCTTTTTTTCTCTCTCTGAGTTTTCCTTTCTCTCCTCTCCTTTCTTCTTCTGCGTTTAGCTCTGGATCTTTCCCTCTTCCTCACCTTCCCTCCTAATGGCCTCTTTTCTCTTTGCCTGTGTCCCTGATCTCTGTCTCTATCTTATCTACTTTGTAGCTCTCTGCCTCTCTCCAGCCTCCTCAGTTCTCTGCCTGTACTTAGGGTCTTTCATAGACATGGCCCAGGCCTGCCAGAACACCTCCTGACACTCTCCTGTCCCCCGACACACGTAGACTGACTCCTTTCTGGCCCACGGACAATTTGTGTTCTTGTGGCCATAGATGAGGTCTGGGGTTCGAGGACTAGGATATGGTTAAATTTTTCCTGCTGCCTCTTTGGCAGCTGTCCTTTTCTTGACCAGCAGGAAGTAGAAAAGGCTAATCCCAGCCCTCCTAGAGTTGGCAGGAACCCTTGTTTTCCAGACCTGAGTTACAGCCTGTGCTAGGAGGGAGGGTGGGGCTGGGCTGGGCCTGAGCTGGTTACTGTGGAGTGAATGTGCTCACTAGTCTGTGCCTGAGGGGGAACTGAGGAACTTCGCAAGTGATTTTAACCCCAGAGTAACTGGGAAAGAGAACTGAGTACTCCTGGGAACCTCAGGACCATCCTGTATCTCCACAGAATCAGAGTGCTCTTAGAAAGCCCCAGGCTATAAATCACAGTTAGTAAAGACTCTGCCCTGGAGACTAAGGAAAATGAGTTGGGGTTTGTCTGGAAGGATTTGCCCAGCTCTGGGGATTGGATGAGCTGTGCCAGAAGGCACCCTAGGAGCTGTGCTTTCTGGAGGGCCACAAGGTACCTTGTAGAGAAGTCAGCCTTGGTGATTCCTGAGCCTGTCACCATCCATCCATGGTGGAAAGAGTTTGAGGTGCCCACTGAAACCCACAAGTCTGCAGAGAAGGCCTGGGTTGACTACTCACCACTAAAGTTGGACAGAAGTAATAACAACCTGAACTGTATGTGTAACGCATTTCCCCCTTAAACCTCAGAGGAAGAGGGGAATATGGGTTCCTCATCCCTCCTTCTGTCCTCTGCTTCTCTCTGCCCCCAGCCTTGGGGCTTTGGCCTACGATCACGACTGCTATCCTGACGGCATTTCCTCCTTACTCTCGCCCAGTTCCCAGCACGGCCTCCCCTCCTGTTTCCAGCGCCTCCAATGACCCAGTGGGATCCTACTCCATCAATGGGATCCTGGGGATTCCTCGCTCCAATGGTGAGAAGAGGAAACGTGATGAAGGTAGGGAGGAGGGAAGAGGTTTGGCTTCCCCTTCGCATGCTTTGTCCTTGGACTCAGATCTCCGGTTTCTGCCTGGCCTCGCAGCTGCTCTGCTGTGAGATCAGTTTTAGTAGCAAAACCCAGGTCCCCCCACTGCCCTGCTGGCTTCTGGAGAGAGGGAGGGAGGTTACTGGTGGGGCCACCAGCTTAACCATCTGCTCAGCCCCGACTGCCTCACCTTCCGCTGAGACTCACCCCAGCTGTCCCTGTGGGGTTTCAGGAAAGGCATGAACCATTTACCTAGGGAAGGTTTTGGAGGTTGGGGGAACAGTTGGTCTCTGACCCAAAGATGAAAGGCCAGCCTACTTTATCCTCACTTGATCCCAACCCATAAGAAGGTATGGGGTGATGGCAGGTGCAGCTGACCCTGGTGTCCTTTCTCTGTAACACAAGGACATTGCCTCATTAAAACCACTTGTGTCACTGGACATGGGACCTTTCTTCTTCTCCATGGGAGAAAACAACACTCAACTTTCTTGTTGGCCCTTCCCCTCATGTTCTTGGAGCACTCCAGAAATAGCCAGGCTGTCAGGTTGGGAGTTCAAGGGAAGGGGAATAAAGAGAAACAGTGGGGGAAGGAAGGAAGGAAAGAAAGAAGGAAAGAAAGAAAGAAGGAAGGAAGGGAGGGAGGGAGGGACAGAGTGGTAGGGGTGAGCTTGAAATGAAGTGGCAATAGGGTTCCTTTGGTGACCATCTGGTTTTGTTCTGAAGCACAAGGCCAGGGCACAGGACTGACAGGTCCAGACAAACAGAGAGCCCAGTGTCTCAGGCCTACTTCCTGCCCCAATTCTCTCATGGTCCTAGCTGGGGAAGTGGCAACCTCTTGGCTTTGGTAGAAACTCCCATGAAATTCTGAGACAGAATCCTCCAAAGATGAGCATAAAGGGTGACCATATATATTCCATTAGCCCAAGAAGTCCCAATTTATGTCTTTGTCTCTTCATCTCGGCCCAGCAACACCTCCCTTTCTCTCAAGAATGCACTGTTTGGACAGTTTGTCCTGTGGTTACCCCAAGCATAGACAAGCCCTTGAGCGAGTGAAGAATGGGGAAGAGGGACAAAGCTGATATTCCATGGGCCACAGCCTGGATTTTCTGGGCCCAGGCAGAGGGAAGAAAGCGTGTGAGGCCTGGCCTCCAGCAGACGGGATGGAGTGTAGAAGAGGCCTAGGCCTGGCAAGACAGTGATGACCTGGTGCTGGCCTCTTTCCAGAAGCCCTAATGGCCTCGTTTCACAGGGAAACAGCTTGTCTGGCTCTATTTCTCCTTCTTCCAAAATATCCAAACCCATTTGGCCGCCACGGCCTTTGCCACTCACTAAATTTCATTGTGGTTGTTTTGGCGGCAGCCCCTTATGGGCAGTGGGAGGCAGTGTGAAAGGCCCTAAGTCCCAGCTCTCCCTGGGACTTCCCATACTCAGGTCTTAGCCAAGCTCCTTGGCACCCTGAGTGCTTTGGTAGAATCTGCCTCTCAAACTCTAAGCGTTTCTCTTTTGCTACCAACCCCTGTGTTATTCAGAGTATGAGATGTCCAGGGGCCAGGGAGGCACCACTTCTGTCCACCCTACCCCGTTACCACCTTGGCCTGAGGTTGGGGGCATGCATGCCCTCTGTGGACATCCCATGAAGGGAGGCTGGAGTAGGAAGGCACTGGCCTGAGGCTTCAGCCACCCAGGGCTAGGCATGGCAGGCCCAGGACAGAGTGCTGTCCTCTCAGAGCAGTTGCTCACATTCATTGTTCTGAGTTAATTTAATTCAGTGAAACTTCCTGCACATCAGCTGCAAGAAAAGCTTGGTGCAGAGGATCCCCAAGTAAAAGAAGATCTGATTCTTGTCCTTAAGGAGCTTATTTTCCAGTGGGGCATATAAACACTGAGTCCAAAGAACAGAAAGGTCCATCAGATATGGTGCATGTTGGAGGTCTGGCCACCTGGGAGCTGGGAGTGGGAAGGAGGTGGGGAGGGAGGTCACTGCCAGGTTAGGCTGCTCTTTGAGGAGAGGCCTTGACCATGGCTGAGGAAGATGTTACATACAATGGCAGCCTGAAATTCTAAGAGAGCAAACCTTGTCACCAGCAAATGCAGGGCAGCTTTGGCAGGAATGAACAGGCATGAAGGGAAATGGTGCAAGGTAAGCCTCAGTAGGTGGTTCAGGTAGCAGGAGAGCAGGCCAAGCCTGAGCTGTGTAAGGAGGGAGGACCTTTCTCCTGAAAGCAGGAGTAGCCTCTGAAGGTGTCTGAGCAGGAAGGACAGAAGCACAGCTGGATTTGAGAAACTCCTCTTCCCAGCAATGTGACAGTGATGGTGGCAGGAAGACAGTGAGGAAGCAGTTGAAATCTTCAGGTGAGAGATAATGGGGACCTTGAAGTTTCCTCTTAAACACTTACCTAGCCAGGTGGCAAGAAGGAGCAGAGGCCCTGTCCTTTTTTTAGCAGGGGTTCTTTTGTCCTGAATCCCTCTTCTCTTGACCAACCCCAGGCCAGATACAGTTGTCCTTTCCCTGGAGGCCAGGACTGTGAGGGAGGCCAGCTTCTCCTGACCACTGCCCTGCTCTTGATCCAGGGGACCCAGGTGGGAAGGGAGAGGAGGGAGAGAAGAGCAAAGGTAGATCTGTGGCAGCCCTCCTCCCCCTCCCCCACTCCTGATGCCTCCAAGCAGCTAGGCCCAGTTTGCATTAGGGAGCAGCTCAGATGATTAAGAATAGGGGAGATAATTATGTGTCAAGATGATGTAGCCCAACTCTGCAGTCAGGCCAAGGTAGCAAAGCAGCTGGCAGGCCGGTCGCAGGAGGCAGCCTCGGGCACAGGCTGCGCAGACACCCAGTATGTCCTTCAGCTCTTGAGCCGATACTGCAGGCGAAAGAGAAACTGACTTAGGGGGCCCGAGGAATGTTGGGATGGGACTGAGGTTGCATGTCCAGGGACTAGACCCTAGAGGGAATGGAAGGCCGGGCACATTTCCCTCCAGGAGGACCTTGGATGCCCCTTGCCAAACTGGTTCTCCTTCGGCCTCAGGCACTGTGGCATCTCCCTGAAAGTGGCATATCCTGAGGGCAAGCTGGGTACTTCTCTGCCCTCCAGGAAGCTGCTCCGGTTCCTGCCTCTGGGTACAGTGCGGCCTATTCTTCAGCTCTAACAATGTCACGGTGGTGGGCATTAGCGAGGACAATGACTGCAGCATGTGCTGGCATTAGTGGAGACAATCTCAGCAGTAGTTACTGGTGTTCACAGTGATAATACCCAGAGCGTTATTGGCACTGGCACTCAGAATATGGACAGCATTATTAGTATCTGCAGCAATCATATCCGTGGGGATATTAGTAAAGGACCGATCAGCTGTGACTCTGGGGAAAAGCTGATGGTGACTGTGGGCTGCTTGAGACTCCTTGCCATGTCCTGGCCTGTGGGAGTGTGGAAAAACCCAGATTTTCCCTGGAGAAATGTGCCACTTTAGAAGCTGTGACTCTCCTTCAGGAGTCCAGAAACTCCCAGGAGATAGATAGACCAGCGATAGATGAGGAAGTCATGTCATGAAGTCCCCAGAAGACAGGCTGTGCTTCAGTCTAAGAAGGAAGAATCATCATTCAGTACCCTGCTAAAATCCTCACTTCTTAACTAAAATTATGGGTGGGTGCATTAGGTGTGGATTCCCTGGAACTTTGAAGGGACATTGATCTTCTGAAGGTTGTAGCTGGAATACAGAGACGAACTTTTCTATCCATAATCAGCCTAAAAAACCACGTATGGGCTGGGACTGTAGCTCAGCGGTAGAGTGTTTACCTAGCAAGCATGAGGCCCTGAGTTCCAACCTCAGCACTGCGGGGGGTGGGGGGGAACCCAAAAACCTGATGCCCTTTGCCTTCTGCTGTGGCCCAGAGCATTGCTGTCCATTGGCAGCCATGTTGAAGCATAGAGCAGTTACATAACTTGTCCAAAAATCCAAATAAAGTCATGGCGAGTCTGTTGATCGGTGTGAGGGAGGTGTGTTGGTGTCATCCTTTGATGTGTGGGATTGCAGGGAGGCTGTGGGTTTGCATTCCATTAATTAGATGCACAATGATTTGTGCAGCTAAGTGGTGCCAAGCTGCTACAGTTGTGCATTTTCAGACAGGGCAGGTTGTGTGACTACAAATGGCCTAGTCCTGTCACTGCCTTTAATAACTCCCTTCTGATTTGGATGAAGCTGTAACTGAAAGAAGCAGTTTATTTCCTTAGTTAGTTTCCCTCCTATAAGTCCCAAAGAGTGTTGCTCAGGTTAGTCTTGGAACAAAGAAGGGGAATACCTTGTGGAAATGAGCAGCACCTACCCTTGTCTAGGAGCCCTGGATGGAGGCAAGAGAAAGCTGCAAAGATCCACTAGGAAAGAGGGTGCAGGGTGGAGGCCAGCATGCAGCCCAGGAGCTTAGCCTAGATGAGCAGAGTGCTCAGGGGGGAAGATGTGAGTCCTGGGGCGAGCATAGCTTGGCATGAATTTTAGCATTCCTTACTATCAGTGTGACCTTGGGCAAGTCACTTAACATGCATCATCTCAGTTTTCTCCTCTATAAAATGGACATAGTAACAATTCTTTCTTCACAAGGACTATGGAGAAGATTCCATGAGATCATGGATATAGAGTGTTGCACCAACTCCATATGGGAAGATGGATTGATTTGCATCTGGGAAAGAAAGTCTCATTATGGGTTTTGATTTCATGGGGAAATGAAGTTGTGTCAGAAAGAAACTGATCTGGACACAGGCTCCATAACTTTGGTGTAGCTTCTTATTACTAAGGCAGCCTCTAGCTGATGCTGGATAAGCTAACCTGGATGTGACCAGTGCAGTTGGCCTCACCTGTGTAACTGGGACAACCTTGGTCCATCTCTACCTATTCATTTGCTCTATGGTTACCTGTTGGTGCATATATCATCTTTTAGCCACCACAGGTGTTTTCTATGTATATAAATAAAGACCCTTTTTTCCCCTTAATATGGGGGCATCACTCCCTCTATCCATCTAATATATTTCTGCTCCTACATGCAAATTGATTTATTTACCTTGGAAAAATGTGTGCTTGTTTTAGAGACCATATGTAATTTTCCCCACAGTTCATGCAAGTATGAGTCTCTGTGTGTGTGTGTTTTACCTCCTCTGAGATCTTTGGGTGTAAGGAGATATGATATGTCACGTGTTGGGAAGGTATTCAGTTTTCTAGGTAGTGTGCATGCTTAGAGAGAGTACCAGTATAACCATGTGTGTGTCCACCAGCACCAATGACTGAGGAGAGCTCTAAGCTAGGCCTGAATTAGTTGAGTCTCCATGGTCCTGGGCACAGACTTGCAAATAGAGTTTGGCCCATAGAACCCACTCTACATCTGTTGGCAAATGGACGGGGTGTCTTGAGTTTGCCTCCAGGGATGGCTGGGGCCAACCCTAGGGAGACTGAGGCTGGGAACCCTCACCCACTCAGGCTGTGTGGGAGTTGCAGCTCAGAACCCTTGCAGCCCTTTGAAGAGGAGTCTGGTCTTCCAGTCTCAGGGAATGGCCCCCAATCTTCTACCTGCCTGACTTTCAATATCTCTCAGTGTTTGTCTCTTATTTGCTCTAGTCGAGGTATACACTGATCCTGCCCACATTAGAGGAGGTGGAGGTTTGCATCTGGTCTGGACTTTAAGAGGTATGAGGGCCAGAGGGAACATGGTGTGGGGGTCAAGGGAAATAGCTGGGGGCGGTGGTTAGAGAACATTGAGAAAGGGGGTTCCTAAGGGCAGAGAACAGAAAAGAGGCAGCTGTTCAGGCTTCCACTGGGCACCTAAGAGGCTAACAGAGTCTCAGGGCCTGGATCGGCTTCTGCCGTGGGCCACTGAGGGGGTGTAGGACTGAGGCCCTGGTGGCCTGGAGGGTCAGGCGCTCAGTGCATGGGGGGCAGTTTTTCCAGCCCTTGGAAAAACAAAGAGCAGATCGGGTAGTAAAACAAAAGCAAAGGAGACCTGGAAGCACCTGACAGCCCTAATTCATCACGGCCCAAGTTTTTTCCTGTGTTCCCATTATATTTGTTTGTAAAAGTGGAAATCAATTTTGAAGGTAATTTTCTGGAAAGAATGGAAGGGAGGTGGGAGGGCCGGATAAGGCAGAGATGGTAAAAGGAAAAATTTAGGCCAGGCACAGCCCAGGGGCAGCTCTTGGCAAGGTGAAAGAAAATTGCATATTCAATCTCCATCCATGAATCTCCCTCACTGCTGCCCGCCTCCTGCTTGAAAACAATGAAGGCTTTTTCCCAACGCTGGGCAGGGCCTCAGTATCAGCCTCACTTTAACTTCAGGGTCATTAATTCCCTGATTATTGAAGGAGAAGAGAGGGTTGCAGCATTGTCAATTCCAAAGGCACCCCCCATGTGATCAGGCACTGGCTGGGTGGGGTGGGGGGCAGCCAGGGTGAGGTGAGGTGTTGTCTCAGAAGGGGTTAGGGAGAGAGGAAATGGGGGAGCCACCTGGACTGGGGGGGCAGGAAGCCAGGGGGAGGGTGGAAGCAGGCAGTCATTACTGCATACCTCTGTTGTGTTGTTATTGCAAATTAAAAGTAGCATGTTCCACTCCACAGCTATCTTTGGGGAGGGAGGGGCACCAAGGGAGGTGGGGGATCTTATCATTGCTTCTTCAGCAGACCAGCCGTGGTGTCACCGTGTGAGGTGACATTTGAATTTACAATTCCGCTGAGAAAAGCCATTAATTCACAAATTAACATTTCTCCCTCTCCCTCTCTCTTTAACACTCTCTCCCTCTCTCACATGGATGTGCAAGCAATTGAAAAGACAAAGGAAATAGCCTTAAGGAAGAGACTTTACTGCTAGTCTGTCTGTGCTGAGATTGCTCCCCCTGCTTCCAGATAGATAAACCAATTACCTGAGCAGCTCGGCTCCTGGCCGCCCGATCGCCTCCTTTTGTAGGCTGCCTCCATGGCTGGCTTGCGCTCGGTGTATCTCATTAATGGAAACCAGGCATGCCCTGGTCACCAAGCTGTCTTCCTGGCTCTCCCTTGGAGGAGCAGTGAGAGGAGAGTCGGTATCAGAAAAGGCAGGTGAGGAGACCCCAGGGAAGAGGAAAATCTGCCACTGCCCTGCCACCTGGGGGGCCCTGGGTCTTTGGACGCAGCTTGCTGTGTTGGCCAAGGCTGGTGGGGGAAGTGTGCAGGTGAGCCCTGCTTGGTAGGTGAGCCTGCTCTGAACTGAGAGGGCAAGGCATGGAGTGGGCATTTAGAAACAGAGGCTACAACACTAACCTAAACTCCTGGTGGCCTTTGGTCCCAGTGCAGGGAGCTGGTGGAACCAGAGAGGGACCTGAGCTCACCCTGAATGAGAAGAGCTTGGGGAAGTTTTGCTGAGTCTGCACTATTTTAGTGGGATGGGATTCAGCTTGAAGGAGCTGAGAGGTTGCTGAGGAGGGCCCAGGAGACATGATGAGGTTGCACTGTATTGGGTAAACAAAATGAGGTTGCACTGATTTCTTAACCTACACCCAGCACTTGGACACGAATGTGTCTGTTTACTGCCTAATACACACACACACACACACACACACACACACACACACACATACACACACAGCTGATTTCCTTCTTAGAGAACACAGCAGCCCCACTTTATCCACTAGATATGTTTCAGGATCCACAGTGAGTACTTGAAACCAAGGTTAGTACCCAGTCCTACACATACTTTGTTTTTTCTCTATATATACACAGGACAAAGTTTAATTTATAGATAAGGCTCAGTAAGAGATTAACAATAACTAATAATAAAATAGAATAATTGTAGCCATACATTGATACCATGACAGTTAATCTGATAACTGAGACGGCTACTAAGTGACTAACAGGTACAGCATAGGTATGCCAAACAAAAGGATGATTCACATACCAGGTGGGACAGAGGGGGCTGCTCAATACTTCATCATGCTACTCAGAAAGGCATGCAATTTAAAACTTATGAATTGTGTATTTCTGGAATTTTCCATTTAGTAGACTATACTTGACTGCAGGTAACTGAAACTTTGAAAAGTAAAATTTTGGATAAGTGGGGACTAAAGTGCCTTATGAATTACTGTTAGGATTATATGTCTTCACATGTTCTATACTGCCTAGCACATGTCACAGACCCTGCCCCTATGTGACAGGTCCTATGAAAGTCCAGAAAGGAAAGCTACACAAAGGGAACCATCTATCTAAACAAGCTCCTGAATTTAACTGCATTAACAAAGCTCAGCCTGTGTTCATTTTCCAACCAATATTATATACCTGGCTAACATCTACTCCAGTTCAAGAAAAAGTTAAGGTTCAAAGGTCAACATTCACTAAGACACCAGAAAAAGAAACCCACTTATGAACACATTCGTGGTCATGAGTATATCTTTATAGTAACCAGGGAAATTCGACTGGTCATACCTGAGAGGAGAATTTTCCTATCTTAGTTGAATCACATATTCAACTGGGTAATATTGGCCATGAGCCTGTTGAACACACTATGTCACTCTACAGAGGTAGATGTAGAATGCTTTTGGAGGTTATGTTGATGTTCTATTAAGACTTTTACTGAGGGCCCTGTATGCAGGTGACTGTATTTTTCTGTGGGTAAGTACCCAGGTTTAGCCATGACTGTGTGAGACTGACAGGTTCATGAATTTATCTCTAAAACTGTGCATTTATACCAGAGATCAATCAAATTATCAACTACCTTTGTTTCCCAACTAGTTCATACTACTATGGATAAAGAGTAGGTTGTTTGAGGAAGTATTTTGAGGTTTAGTACAAATGAGCATATATTTTTTCATATAGTGCCAGAAGTCAGAATAGATAGGTGGACCATCCCTAGGAAAAAATGCACAGATGTGTTGTAGAGGGGGCTACATGTGTCCCTCCACCCCCAGACATTTGGGCAGGTTCAACCGGGTATTACAAATTCCTCAGCAAAGGCCAGGAGGTTCTCACCCCGCTGCCCTGTTTGCACCCTCTCATGAGCACCCATGGTTTTAGAATCCGTCTTCACCTCTTGGTCATCCCTTGGCAACTGCCTTCCAGCCCTGCAGGTAGGCATCATTCTCCTTTCCCCTCCTGGCAAGGGCACCAAGCGAGAAATCCGCTGCCTCAGCTCTGCCCTTCTCCCCCAGAGCAGGCTGTGCACGCAGGAGGGAGGAGCCAGGCGCAGGGCTGTCCCCCAGGCCCTGCCGCTTGTGGGCTTGCCTCCCAGAGCACCTCCTCCTCTGCGGACCAGTGGTCAGTGAGAAGGGCAGGCAGCTGGCATGAGGACCCCTCGGAAAATGGGTTTGGAGATAATAAAGGGGAAGGGAGACCCCAGGATCATGCCCACCAAAGGAATGGGTCCTGGCAGGCTCCTGAACCACTGAACCCAGAGAAGGACCCCCTTCCCACCCTGCCTTCCTCAGGCCTTCGGGCTCTTTGGGACCCTCTCACTGTGCCCTGTGGGGGTAGAAAGGCCAGGAGGGTTGAGGGAGGGTGGGGCCTGGTGCAGGGGCTGGAAGATAGTCACGAGCCTCAGAGCCCGAGTTGCAGCAGAGCCAGTAATTCAAACCATCCTGACCCTTCGGTGAACCCGAACCTGCTGACCTTGACAGCAGCAGACAAGAGAGGCCTCACAAACCTCAACCTGGCAGAGGCCCTGCCTTCTCTCCCTTCCTTTCTTGAAAGCCTATGGCCCAGCCTCCAGGTGGCTCCTCATTTGGCCATCCCCAAGAAATGTCAGCATCCCCTCCCTCCCTGAGGCTGCCTGCTTGCTTCAAAGCACCCTTTGTGCTCATCTCCACTGGAGACAGGGTGTAGGCATCTCCTGGGGCCTGTCCAGGACTGCCGTGAGTGTTCTCTTATGAGTGGAGCTCATACCCCTTCTCTGCCCCAGGCTTCGTCTTTTCAAGAGGACTGGCTATAGCACATAATCTGGGTGCACACAGGGTCGGGGATAGAATGTGATGGAGATGTAGTAGACGGGGAGGGAAGACAAGCTGGAGGAAAGCAGCCTCAGGAATCTGCATTAAAGTAAATGCAGTTTATGAAGTTTATGCCTTCTTCCTCGGGAGAACTGGATTCCTTCCAGTAGCCTCTCCGAGGCTGCCAAACAGCTCCTGAAGCAGAAAGTGTGGGCAGGAGAGCAAGCAAGCCAGTGACAGAGGGAGAGATGCGTGGACACCAGCAAGCACACACACACATACATCACCCTAGGCCACAGCAGCCTGAGAAGCCTGGGATGGGAGAATGCAGATGGTGTGTTTAGGAGGAGTGGCTCCAGGAGCTACTTTCCCCCTTCTTCCCTGGCCACCTGCCATCTCTACCCCCTCAGGCAGTGTGGCCATCAGTATGAGTGCTGGGAAGACTGGTGGTGTAGTAAAGCTAAGCTGGGGACAGTGTGGACCGCCTGGGGTAGCTGGGTCATGGAAGCTGCTCTGGGTGAGAGATGGTCTGGGTGGTCTTGGGGCAATGGGTACAAGCCCTATGTAGGAAAAGGAATCAGAATATTGTACCACTGAAATCAAGTGTGGTGGCACACACCTGTAATCTCAGCTACTTAGGAGCCTGAGGCAGAAGGATTACAAGTTCAAGGGTAGGCTGGCAGCTTCATAAGACCCTGTCTTGACATAAAATTAAAAGGTCTGGGGATGCAACTCAGTGGTAGAG